TATATCTTAAGGTATATATATATATATATGCTACACATAGAAATAATGTTATAAATAAGGAAAATATAATTTGAAATGCATAAAAACACGTAAAAGTAAAAATATAATGCAAAGCACATAAAAAAAACATGCAAAAATAATGAAACATCACATGAAAAAACCGTTTCAATTAAAGCTTTAAGTTCCTGTTATATGTGAAAAAAAACAACTATCTTATTTCGTTAAAGAAATATTTCCCGTTAAATTTGATTAAACATTTCATTCTAGATATTAATGTAGAATTTTTTGACATGTCCAAATTTATAGTAATAACCAAATTTAAAATGAATGTTAGAATCTTACTTGAGCATCTGTACGATTTCTGAAGGCATCATAGATTTTTTTAACTGCCACTACCTTTTTATTAACTCTATCAGAAGCTTTCCACACAATGCCGTATGCCTGAAAGAAAGAAAGCAGTTCATAATAGTAAGTTATTTTCTAATAAATTCAAAACAAGTTAGTAATTCAGATAGTTTTTTTATATTTAAAAATATTCACAATCAATCTTTTTTCTTTATTATAAATGCTTCCATAAACATACCATTAAATGAATTTTATTCAGTTAATTTAAATCTATTTAAATTATTTTTTTATATTTTAAACTACGATTTTTAATTTTGAACGTTCAAATGTTAAATACAAAATATTATCACAAAGATTATCAACTGTAAATCAAACGTTAGTTTTTAAGCTATTTAAAAATAAAGCAGTGAATTTTTCGACTGTTTCACATTTCTTTCTAAAAATCTATCGAAATAATATAAAATACTAATACTGACTATCGCAAAACCAATTAAATTTTTATTCACGCGTTGGCAACTAAGAGCTGAGACATAGTGAACTATTAATTGGCAGAAATGAGAAGTTAAAAGCAACTAAACAAAGATTTATTTTTCAATTTTAATGATTTTTTATAATTTATGTTGGAGAGAGAGTCGTTTTATTGAAACTCTTAAACAGAATCAGCGGAGATCGGTCAGCAATACTCGCAAGCGATATTAGTTTACATGCAATTATTTCTGGGGGGAAATTCTGTAATTCGTATAGTTTATGCAAGGGATTGTTTGATATTAAGGAGAAAATTTACCCAGAAAAACCTTATAATTTTTTACCTGCTTTACAACAGAACTTTTGAGAAATTATAAACTGACAGTGAATTATAAACGAAACATAAGGGAAAAATGCACAAAAAAATCCCTTAAAAATATGCTTGCAAGAACAAAAAATAATTTTGTTCTTTGTCATTCTAAAAAATCTAGCGAAGGTAAAAATTCAGCCAGCTGCAATTTCATTTATTCAAGTGTTGAAGATATTACAGTGGCATTTTATTGGAAGGCTAATATAAACTGACTCATTTTATGACATTTGTGTAACGTCAACTAAGTCGTTTAAAAATGAAAAAGAAATGCTAGTATCAAAACCGTCAGTGTTACAGTTAATAAGCGTATTGAGAAATATTTCAATTTTGAGCTGTTTGCCAACTGAAGAACAAAAGTTGATTAATTACTTAATACTCTATTATTTTTAATACAACATTTTGTATTCTTTTTATGCCTCATTTTTAGGCTTATGCTTTCATTTATCAGTAAAGGGTTATTGAGGAGTCAAATATCAATAATGGTAGGATGTTCTATTCCAGTTTCACTTTATTTATTAATTATTATTATTTTTTAAATTGTTTGTAAAAAATTATGTATAAAAATAATTAAGTATTTTATAAATTACATTGCGCAAAAATATGCTTCACTGTATGTTGTCGAATAATTTCTCAGATTTTATTCAAAAATTTGTTTTTCTTAAAATGTTTTGCTCAAAACAATCCTTAGATATCTGTTTCTTAAGCATCCGAATTCATTTTGAAACAACTTTGTACTCTGTACAAAATAAGGTCAAGCATTTTTAAGGGTTAATATATATTTAATATATCTTAAGGTCAAGCATTTTGGAGGGTTAATATATATTTTGAAACAATTCATTTTGAAGCAACTTTGTATTCTGTACAAAATAAGGTCAAACATTTTTAAGGGTTAATATATATTTAATATATCTTAAGGTCAAGCATTTTGGAGGGTTAATACATATTTTGAAACAACTTCGTACTCTGTACAAAATAAGGTCAAACATTTTTAAGGGTTAATATATATTTAATATACATTAAGGTCAAACATTTTTAAGGGTTAATATATATTTAATATATATTAAGGTCAAACATTTTGGAGGGTTAATGCATATTTAAATTCCTGATTGCAAATAATTTTTATCTGAAAATCATAATAAACATTTTAAATAGCTGTCCCTTTTAAAAAAACTAAAGTAAATAAAAATTCTCGTAAAACCATGTAAAGTGCTTGCGAGTATTAAAATAAAAAATTATAAATTTTTATTAAAAAAAACATCGCACTACTAGAATATATAATTAATATTTTTAATAAATTATTCGAAAGACACTGGAGCAAATGTTATAAAAATTCTACATATTTCAATATTTGATATTTCAAGTATTGAAAATCTTGAAAAATAAACCTTTTATATAAATATTCGAATTTGAAACCATATAACACTATTCAACTTTAATTTTTAAAATATGTTGTGTGAACATTGTTACAAAACGATTGCAAATCATGTCTTGACTCTTCGTTTCGCCAGAGTATTGAAAATCATAAGTCGATAACGCGAATTATAAAACATTTTAGTTGATAAAAAGCGTTTGTTCTCTCAATAAAGGAGATAAAATCATGATTTATGACTGTCTTTAATCAAAATAAATATGTCACATGAAAGTCATATCTCTATTTGAGTTGTATTATGTCTGAAAATGCGTCGAAAACGAATATTCACTTTTTCTCGAAATACGCAGCTGCTTTGTATGGATAGTTCGCATGGATAGAATGCTGTTTATTCCTTATTTTCCTTAACTTGATTAATTTATTCTGATATCATGTAGTTTGCAGAATTATCAGTTTTAAAACAGTAAGTCCAGCAAGTAAAAATCCTAATAATTGTAAAATATTTAATTACGGACTGGATTTTACACGATAATTCCAGCAAAAAATAATTCGAATACTTGTAAATACTACAGATTATTCCAACAAATAATAATTCGAATACTTGTAAAATATTTAATTATGGACTTGTTTTTAACTGATTAATCCAGCACAAAATGATTCGAATGCTTGTAAATGCTATAGATTATTCCTACAAATAATAGTTCGAATACTTGTAAATACTACAGATTACTTCTACAAATAATAATTCGAATAATTGTAAAATATTTAATAAGGGACTGGTTTTTAAACGATAATTCCAGCAAAATAACAATTCTAAAAACTGCAAATTACTAAATGTTAACTTTCTAAATCTTTTTTTTATCAATTTTTTTATTATTATTTGTTTTATAACAATTAATTTCAAACTTATGAAAAAGAGCAGGTTACGTAACTACAGTAAGGATGCAAGTATTTAAATTTAGAAGTCCTAAATTAAATATTTTTACAAAATATTAACTTTCTTTAAAGCTGTTTTAAATTAAGTAGCAAACAATTTAAATTAAGTAACAAATAAAGTTATTACAAGTATATATTTAGGGACTAATTCTTATTTCTATAATAATAGTTACAGTAATTCTTTTTTTTTTTAACAAAATAGTTTAAGATTGTATGAGATTGTATGTTTTTTTTTTATTTGATTAGAAACGAAGCTCTAAAGGGACCATATAGTTTCTTGAATTTAAACTAGACTGGTACATACTAGACTAGACATAAAATAATTTCTGTTCAATATTGCGGGTGATAACTTTTTTTCATAATAGTTTGATTATAAACTGCTGTAATTTAACACAAAGAAATTATCAAAATTCTGTCAATTTAAAGATATGAAGTGTTGATTTAGAAAAGACAAAAACTAAAGCTGCGTAGTTTGGTATCTTATGTGATTATATAAATAATGAAATGACACAATGCCTAAAATTTCATAATTGAGGTTATTTATAGTTTCCGATTTGAAAATAAATATCAAAAATATATTTTCAGTTTAATTTCGTTTAAAGAATTAGTATTAGAGTACTAATTATTTAGGTTCGATATTCTAATATATTATAAAAAATTAATTGCTCTGTTATTTTCTTTTTGCTTGCACACTGAGAAAAAAGTATGATAAAAATTTCCAGAATACGGTAAAATTTACCGTTTTTCTAGCTCTATGGGAACACTAAAGAGCTTGGCAATTTTAACGATGCTCTCTGGTAATGATTTTGGAATAATTGACAATAAAATATGGACTTATAATACGTAATCAAATTTGGTAAATGTGGCAAAATTTGATAATTTTATCATGATACCTTAGAGCATGGCACAAAAACCATTTATTGGGTTGAATTTACTTTTCAGTCTTGTATTTTTTACTAAATGTATGGTAATAAGAACTATCATTTTGAAAATCCGAATTTGTGTAATATGGTTACCAAATAAAGGGGAAAATTACCAAATGAATGATTTATATATCGTATATTTCTGTTTTTATTACCAGAATTATGTTTTATTATTATTTTTACCAGAAATGTCGTTACCATACAGTTGGATAATCTTACCAGAATTTTTTTCTCCGTGCCTGCATTACATTTATATTACTATAAATGGTTTGAATCACGTTGAAACGATCTGTATAGCATTTGTCTTCAAAATTAAATCGTTCAATGCGTTTATTAAGCACTAATTACTTATTAAATCAGATTAATTTTTTTGCAATATTTTAACAGTTTTATATCAATAATTTTGTTAAAACAAAGAATATGAAACTTGAGACATTTTTTTTTCAAGTGAGATGCTAATTTAATTAAGGCATTTTTTATTTTTATTTTTACAAATTGTGCATTTTTTATTTTTACAAATTGTGCATTTTTTATTTTTACAAATTGTGCGTTTTTTATTTTTACAATTTGTGCATTTTTTATTTTAACAAATTGTGCATTTTTTATTTTCACAAATTGTGCATTTTTTATTTTTACAAATAAGTAAAGCATGTTTGCATTGCTGAAATTATTTTATAATTGCTGTAATTATTTTTACAAATAAGTAAGTTTGTATTGCTATAATTATTTTTACGAAATTTGCATTTTTTATTTTTGCAAATAAGTAAATCATGTTTGTATTGCTGAAATTTTTCGCATTGATTTGTACGTGATGGTTTATTTTAAACGCTGTATATTTTATGTAGATTATTAGTAATTATTTTGTTTAACAGAATATAAAATTATCTATGTTTTTTGAATTTAATTACATTATTTAAATCAAACTATTTATTACAATTTCCTTTCCTTTCCTTTTTTAATAAAAAATTTCATTTAGTAATATTATTTTAAGTTAAATATGTATTACAAATTACTCTTTATAAGATATTAATCTTCTTTTATTTTACTAAACAAAAGATTTCAATGTTTAATAATATTACGAGTTCTGCGGAAAATAGTTTTTGTCTCATCTTCGATTAATTAAGTAAAAAATTAAGCAATGATAATAATAAAAACAATCTTAGTGAATAAATCAAAAAGATTTTGCATTTTTCTGCTTAAATCTTATAAACAAACTTAATCCAAAAGCTTCTTGTTGATATGGAGAGTGAACTAGATAATGTAAACAAGAGCAAACAAAACAACCGGTTTTCGCAACCTGGCTGAGTAACTGTATCTTTCTCAAGGAGCACTGTCAAATAAAAATTTCACTTTTGAAAAATAATATCGCAAAGTTTGCTATTTTTTCAAGCTGCCCTCCATTAGTAACTGATGTGTGTAAAAAAAATTGAGCTTACCCCCTTTCCAAGACGTTTTGAAACTTCGTACCTTTCCGCCACATATGGGTCAACGTCCCCCATGTCGCCATGAGTTTCGCATTCACAATAAAACTACATTTATCTACTCAAAACAGGAGTAAAAAACGCGCACCTGTGCCCCCATCGGAGAGCACGAGTGGCGACCTCTGCCGATGCACACCTGAAAGTCCGGATGATAAGTATGTTTTGGTGAGTAGCCACTCTTACATCGGTCAGTGAAGGTTGCTTCACTGCATTTCTCGCGGTGAGGTGAACGATTCTGGACGGGTTGCTGCTCTTCGTGTGGGAGGAAGGATTGTTTTGAAAATAGGAAGGGAAAGGAATTAAATGCCAACTTATTTAAAGTAGAATGATAATATCATTTGATTTGTTTAATGACAAGCGAATCTATTTAAACGATTTTAACGATTATTCTCTTAAAATATTAAGATTTATTGTTGATATTTTCTATAAACAGATTAAAAATTTTTGCAATTTAAAATAATTTAGTCTACAAAATAAGTAATTAATTATCCAGTTTTGTTATCAAAAAAATAAATAAATAACGCTGAAAAGGAGAAAATTAAATATATTTCTTCGAATTCTTTCATTAATTAATTTTTTAAATTATTATTTTGAATATTCTTTTCTGAATATTGCTTTTTGTAACGTAGATAAAGTATAAAAATTTATTTATTAATTGGCCTTATGTGGATAAATTTTGAAGGCTAATTTTATGATATATTTATAGAAAACGCTATAAAAAATTTATCTTTAGTTTAACACACGGAGTATATATAGATAAAACATTCAATGAATTCTATTTTTTATAAAAAGTATTATGGTCCATTTTTTAAACCGTGCTTATAATTGTTTTCAAATTCGGCAATATAAAACAACTTAGTTAGGTGGAGCAACTAAGGTAAATTAATGGGGCAGTTTTTACTGAAATTTATGAAATTCTGAACTAAAAATTTTTGACATTTTGTAATAATCCATTTAATATAAAATTCAAATATTTCTGTATTTTTTTCGCATTCTTAATTTTTAGGGGGGAAATATTATTAAAAAACTGGGGACTATAAACTATTTTTAGAAATGAATTTAAAAGGGCCCAAAGTAGAGATAAATTCTGAAATGGGTACCTAAAACTGAAGCAAGGAAAAAAAAATACAATATCATTTGATTGCAGCGTGATCTTTGAGTTATAAGACTGCGATGTTTAAAGTTTATATACTGGAACTCTATATTTTTATTTTCTATAAACAAATAAGTTAAAAAAATTTTCGATTTTCGCAAAGTTTTCAAAATGCAGCAGTAGAATTTTTTTTACTCTATGTATTCGTAATTTTATTTAACAATATCAGAATTTTTTTTCTTAAAAATGATTCCTTAAATTCTGCTTTTGTTAAATTATTTCCTCACTTTACTTTTTTTAATGAAATGAGCTTTCGGATTTTGTCTAAGACAAACTTCCATTTTTTTTAACTAAAAAACATTTTTAGCATAATGTGCAACGTAAAATGTGCTAGGATATGCTATATTTTGCTAAATAGATCAGAAATATAAAAACTAAATAGATGAAAGGTGAAAAGGTAAAAAAAAAAACAGCTTTTGAAAAAAAAACTTAAAAAGTTGATCATGAGAATCATTTTTAAATTTCAGATTTTGTGAAATGTAATAAAGAATACTAAAATCACTTTTGGGAAATTAATATTTATACATCATTAGATTGTAAGCTGTGCAAAATATGTAAGCTTATTTCGAACAATATCTTTTATAACATTAGTAGAAAATACAAGAATATGAGGACAAATCACCCATGACAATGTAAATGTTAAGGGACCCGCACAATTATGTTAAAAGATTTTACTAATTATGTTTAAACGATCGTACCAACCACGTTAAAAGTTCATGCACAAGTGTTTGAAGAAAGAGTATAAGGGCTGATCTAAAGGAGAATGGCTAAGGGAATTTATGTTCGATAATAAGAAAATGAAGAATTTGTCTGTGCGTCTGGTCTGTCCCTCTTATATCTGCTGAACCGTTTATCCCAGTGTCTTGAAATTTGGATAAAAGAGGCAATTTTACCTCCTGATCCTAAATTTCGTTCAAAAATTCCACTTCGATCATTCAGGAGAGACGTTTGAAAAAGGGAATTTTTTAATTGGCTGCAATTGTTTCCATATCAATTATTCATTCAGAAATATTAATCCATAAACAATTATGTTTACAGTTTAAAGATTACATCAGTGATGTTTTATTGCTTATAGACAGTGCTGGATTACCCATTAAGCCAGACTAGGCCGCGGACTGGCGCCCCCAATGATTAGGAGCCCCCTTAAAATGGATTTTTTGAAAATAAATTTTAAAAAATTAAGAAAAACAATGATTTAAAAAAAAATTCAATTTCAAATATATATTATTAAAATACAATAATTTTTTTACCTAATGTAAATCATATTTATTTATTACTTATTTTAGTTATTATTTATAAGTATGATTATATAAAAAAAATATACGAGAAAAAAATTTAATCTATGGGCCCTAAAAATTTGAATGGCCTAGGGCCCCGCGCAAGCTTAATCCGGCACTGCTTATAGATATAATTAAAAAAAGAATTTATTTATTCTCATTAATAGAAAAGGCACGTTTTTTAATTTTAATTATTTTTTATTTCTTGTGTCATAACTCGATGATCAAAGCGAGCGAGGTAGCATAGGCGGACTACGTAATTACAAGTCCAGAAAATTAGTATTTTTAAGGTGATCTGAAACATCATGTTTATTTTGTTTATAGTTATGCCTTAAAAAGATGTTTCGATAAAGCTAGAAATAATTTTCTATGAAACTAGAAATACGTGTATATTATTTGAAATTAAAAAAAAAGTTATAAAATTGTTTGAAATTAAAAAAAAAGTTATAAAATTATTTTAAATTAAAAAAAAGTTAAGGAAAAATTAATGGAGAAATTGTACTAATTCGCTTTGTAGAAAAGTGAAAAAAATAATCGTTCTATTATTAATGATAATAAGGCTTGATTAATTTCGAAAATAGGTACTAATTGAAGTAAAAAATAAGCTATGAACTGAAAAGCAAAATTAATGGAGAAAAGGAAACAAAGTTATTTAGGAGAAGCTAAAAATTCGCCATACAATTGTCGATGCCAATTCTTAATTAATTTCGGTAATAGTTACTAATTGAAGTAAAAAGATAAGCTATGTAATAAATAATAAAATTAATGGAGAAATGGTACTACTTCGTCTAAGAGAAGCGTAAGAGAAGTATTATCATAGGAACTTTTCGGTTACCAAGGGGCAAGCTAAAAGGTTCTAAAAGTACAGTAAACCAACATTTTATTACTATTTTTTCATTACTATTTTTTAAAATACAGAACACGGAATTAACTATAAAACAATAAATAAAGTTTAAAAAAATTGAAAATAGTTGCATTTACTTGCACCCGGCTAACTAAAAAATACCCAAAAATAAAATAATTTATGTACTAAAATTAATGGTACTAGTTAATTTAAGAGAAAAGTAAAAAATCGTTATACAATTTTTGTCGCCAATGATGCTCACTTAATTTTGGTAATAGTTACTACATGAAATAAAATTAAAAAAACTATGTACTCTAATCTATTAATGAAAAAATGGTACTAATTAGTTTTGGAGAATCGTAAAAAATTGTCATGATATTATTGACTGTAATGATGTTGATGCTAATAACTAACACTAATGACGATTTCGGTAATAGACACTTCTGCTGTTGTAATCATTGCTGTAGCTTGAATTAGTACCAAGGATACTAATCTTATAATGTATAATATAAGTAAATTTGGTACTTATTATTAAAACTATATCAAAGCACTAATATTGTAAATGTTTTTTCGCACAAGTATCACATTAGCACATTCATGACTGTTTACGACTCGCTTTTCGAGACCTTATGGATCCTCCTTTGTTAGTCCTTGAATTTCATAAATCAAAAATGTTGACATTAATTTAGCTTCAATTATTATTTTAGTATATGTTGAAATTACCCAAATTAAAATTGAAGCTGATTTTTGAGTTCTGCGACTTTTTCTCACTTTTTTCTTTTCCTCCTCTTTTGCTATGCAATTTATTTTTCAAGAATCTTAAGAATTTCTTTATGCAAATGTTTTTTAAGTTGTATTAAATATTGATCTAACACTAATTTATTATTCTTTTTACAGAAAATAAAATGTCCCCAAAGATTTCCTAGACTTTAAAAATAATTTCCCAGATTTTAATCGTCGAAAAAAATCCTGAAACCTAAAACACTCCATTAGTAATACAAATAATTTAAATTTTAAAAATATATTTTAGAGATGGTACTACGAGAACTCCCTGTATATTTTCCTAGTCACATAGTATTAAAAAAACCACGAATTAAACAGAGTTTTATTCAGAGGTATGTGACTTTTTCAACAGTAAATAAATAAAGAACAAGCAACATCAATCCTTAATTTCAACGATCATTAATCTCAACAATTTAAAAAATATATAAAAAAATCTCCCTAGTGTTTTTCTATACTTTAACAATAATTTCCTAGACTTTAATTGTTGGAAAAAGTCCTGAAATTTCAAACATTCCTTAGTAGTTTAAATAGCTTACATTTTACAAAAATTTTAAAAATATTTTTTAAGCATGGTATTTCAAAACATCCAACATAATTTCACACCCAGAATCACCTGCCACATATAGCTCAGTGACGTAAATAATATAGCGGAGCCTGGGGCTCACGAGATTTGAGGGCGCACATTCCGGAAATAATACACTATATGATAGGGGTGCAAAACCCGCGGCCTGCAGTAGCACCAGAACATATTAAAAAAACTGTTACACTTTTTTTTTTTGGAAAACTCAAAAAAAGAAAATTTTGAATTGTGCATTTAAGTTTTTGACGTGCCAAACCTAAATCAATGTAGTTTTTCGGTGGTTATTACAACGGATTTCTAAAGGTTTAAAAATCCCGATATTTTTAATACACAAAATTATGCGTGAATTTCGAATTTTAGTAATCACTCCCGAAGCTCTTTATTTAAGTTCATTTCATAGTTAGTGCAAATGACTTTTCGATAGTGTATTCGGAGGTTATTGTCAGATTTTCACTTGTTTCTTAAAATCCCGATCT